TCAGGGTAAATCCACACAGAGAACAGCCACCAGTTGACAGTGGAACAGTTCAATCTCAAACGTTACAGCTATGACGTCATAAGCGTGGCGACACTATGGCCTAATGTATGTTATACGGAATAATTATACCTCTACTTATTTTACACTATACAAAAGTAGCCACATAAACAAGCTATTTCCCTTCTAACTACATGCCAGTGAAATAGTTCGTCTGGAGGGATGCGATAGTTTTGAAACTATTTCCCTCGGAAAATGCGGGAAATTGAGCGACGTCGTGGGTGGGGCCTGACCGAATATTGACCAATCAGCGCAATCGAATTACGTCGGCAATTTCCGGCCAGCGGAGCCGGTACTTTCTGAATCGACCTTCACCTACATGTTTTGAATTAATTCAGAATTCGCATTTATGTTGATGCTAATTTTCAAGCAAAAACTGTGATTTATTGTTTATAGTACATGTGATATCCTTTATTTCATGTTATTGCAAATACTGTTTTTTTCTGATGTTGATTCTCAAGAAATTTTAGTTTTGTTAATAAAGTGTCCCAACTGTTGAAAATTTGTTTTCTAATAATATTGAGAATATTGTAAGGGAGTGTTTGTATCGGTATAATAAAACAGTTGAAGTATGGGTATTTCGGGATATAGCAAGTTTATGATCCCACTCGTCCAGGACTATTTCCCTCGGCTTCGCCTCGGGAAAAAGTCCTGGCCTCGGGGGATCATAAACTTGCTATATCCCTCATACCCATACTTTAACTGTTAAATAACATACATTGGGCTCAGTAGAAACATCTAGGCTCTGTGCAGTGGAAATGTAAATATTGTTTATTACAACTCTTGTGGATGTAACGGTGAATGTGACGTCATTTTGGTATATGAAGTTGTATGCTTATTTACAGTTTGACTTTTTAATTTTGTCATAATTTTACAAATAAAAACGCATGCCATGTGTATTATTGACTACTGTACATACTAATCTCTGATACAATATTACTTTTCAATATTTTGTTATATTATATTTACTTTTATTTTTTAAGTCTTATCAGGCCAGACATTATGACAAACTGCGGGTACCTTTTTACTGAAATATTTTCAGCAATATTAAATGTTATTTACTCTTTCAAACCAAAAGGGATTATCATTAACATAATAGCCGACTATTTCATTATTTCCCATAGCATTTGAAGATATATGTAGCCATACCTGTACTTGATACGTGATGACGGGCCCTGTTCTGTGTTTACCACATGTTGATGAAGTTCTACTTATTGTGTAGTAGTAATGCTGCTTAACTCGACACTGATTCCTGTGATAGGCCTTAAACACATGTCTATTTTATCCTTGTTTTTTCCAGTTTGACTCTGTATTAGTATATACTTACATGCCCAGGGGTGTAGGGTAGGGACACTCCTGTAGAAAGGTCTTCAAATTTGGTTTGCATAAGTTGAAAATACCGAAGCTGGGATTCTCCTATCTTGGACTCCTTTACATGGAGTTTTTTCTGTCATACAAGTTGACCAGAATCAGCTCAGAAACCATGAAAATGCCTTTTGACTGACTAGTATTTTCGACATGTTTCCTTGAGTTTTTTGGATGAAATTATTTCAATTGGTAAGCAAGATTGAGCGAACCCCATTTCTCCAAACTATTAAATAAAAAAATCCCATTTTTCTTAATTGTATTTTTTATGTATTATTATAATATTTATCAATTTCATCACGTTCCAATTTTCAGCATTTCTGGCATTGGAAACTTCTCATTTTTGTTACGTCACGCACTTAAAAGAAATCTTACTTGAGCAATAAAAATAAGGAAAAAATTGAACTGTTATGCATTTTTTCTTATGAGTCTAGAATGTATCTTAATACTACGATACAATTTTGTAAATCTTGTATTTACTTACTATGATAAGTGTTTGTATAAATGTTTTCCTACATACCAATATTAATGATTGTGTAGAGTTATTATTACGAGCTTCACAGCCAATCAACCCAGCAAGGGGTAATTAGGGCAAAAAGAGGTCATTAAAGTCAAAAGTAAAATGAAAATGACAACAAACAAACGACAAAGTAACCACACAAGCGTGAACGCTAATATTATTAGTGGCTATTGTGACGTATATCTGTTAGAACAGACCAAAAGTTTACATATAGCTCTCATTACGGAAACAAGTATTGTTTCGAAAAGAGATCCAAGACACATAACATTATCGAAGAAATGTTATCGAGTTGGCTGAACACGGTCAAATAACAAGTTTTTCACTGTAAATTGGTCCTGAAATACCTTGCATTGGGGCTGGTCTTCACGTTTCGGCTAGACGGACAAGGACAACCTCATCTAGGCTCATTATCAACCATTACACGTTTAATTGAGTGTATAGTGTTTTATACATTTATTAAAAGTCCCATACATGTAAACAAAGAGCATTAGCTCTTGAGAGCTATTATTGCGACAAACATATGTAAAAAAAACAATAACTTATTATATAACAATAATCACATATACAGGAACAGCAAAGGGGTTTAAACATAAATAAAACGCAATAATAAAAAACACAGACAAAGAAAGTATCATATCCCCAGGTTTTTAAGCGACTGTGAGGCCCCTTCCATGACACTTTAGATACAATAAATATATAAGAATAGTGTTAATATGAAAAGCAATAAATGTGATCACAGATAAGTAGTATTCAGAATAAGTAAATGAAATACATAGTTAATAGTGAATAAATACTTGTGCAGGACAAGAATTACTTGGGGTTTAGGATTAAAACACTATCAAGTGGAATATACACACAATGTTTATATAGCAAAGACTGAACATTTATAGAGTATACACTAATATAGTGTGAAATTAAAAAAAAAGATACAAAAATCAATAAAAAAAATTTTTAGAAGTTACGAAATTAAAATAAGAATATGACGCTGCAAAAATATAGAATAGGATTAATATATATACGAATTGAAATAAAACAACAATAGTATATACAATTCAAACTGTCAGGTAGCAGAGGTAACCAGGGCACAATATACAGCATTGAAGTATATGAAGAATTGACTCCAAATATATTGCCATTCTTATATTCATAAGCTTTTCATAAGTGGCTTAAAATTAGTAAAATGAGGCTTAAAATCAAAATATTGTAGGAAAAGAGCTGCTTTTGCGGCGCGATCTGCCTTTTCATTAATGATAGGGTAATGTGTATTTACATAAAATGTATTATTACCATAATACAATCTGATGTGTATTTTATCTACATGTACATACGGCTGTAATCTCGTCTGTATCCTGTATCTGCTTTAGGCCATACATATTTGGGTGTTTGTATCGTACATTTTGTATGTACTTCGGACGATCAATACTTGGGTATCTTGTATGTTAATATGGTAGTTAATACTTGAGTGTCTTTGTTTATACTTAGGACGATTAATACTTGAGTATCTGAGTATCTTGTATTTGCTCAGGACGATAAATACCTGAGTATCGTGTATTTACTCAGGACGATAAATACTTGGATGTATTAAATGTTTTCATGGTAGTAAATACTGGTGTTTCTTGTATGTTATTAAGACGATAAATACCTGAGTATCTCGATGTTATAAAGAAGATAAATACCTGAGGACGATAAATACCTGAATATGTTGTATGTTATTAAGACGATAAATATCTGAGTGTCTCGATGTTATTAAGACAATAAATACCTGAGTATCTCGATGTTATTAGGTCGATAAATAGCTGAGTATCTTGTATGTTATTGCGACGATAAATACCTCAGTATCTTGTATTTTATTTAGACGATAAATACCCGAGTATCTCGATGTTATTAAGACGATGAATACCTGAGTATCTCGATGTTATTAAGTCGATAAATACCTGAGTATCTCGATGTTATTATGAAGATAAATACCTGAGTATCCCGATGTTATTAAGTCGATAAATACCGGAGTATCTCGATGTTATTAAGACGATAAATGCCTGAGTATCTCGATGTTATTAAGACGATAAATACCTGAGTATCCCGATGTCATAAAGGCGATAAATACCTGAGTATCTCGATGGTATTAAGACGATAAATACCTGAGTATCCCGATGTTATTAAGGCGATAAATACCTGAGTATCTCGATGTTATTAAGATGATAAATACCTGATGCTCTTGTATGTGCGTAGGACGTTAGTTCTTAAGTATCCTGTATGTACTTAAGATGACTATCTTGTATTTGCTTCAGCTTAAAAAGATAGATGAACATTATCAAGTCAAAAACATTGATGCTAAATATTATGTAGCCACTGCTGCAAAATTCATCAACAAAAATCATTAACAAAAGTTGGTAAAATGTTTTAAAATGACAATTTGAATGACGTTTGGATATTGAATTATTACTGACATGCATTTATTTTATCTGTAGAAATATTTATATTCAGAATAGAACAGTATTGAATAGACATTTGTTACCGAATAAGTTGACAAGGAAGCCAGGATTTAAGCAGAGTGGCCTCTAGCTCGACTGCTTATAAACTCAAGTGTTGTAAAATATAACTTTCCTTTCTAATTAAAGTCTGTAAAAAAATAAGTGGATATCGGCCAATTACATAACAGTACGACAACAACTATTAACTTCATAATATTAAGCCATGTGCCACTTATGAAAAGTTCTTTTTACACAACCATTAACATTTTCTATGTGACGTTTCGATGACTAGTACGATATGTACTCTGTCACCTTCAACAGACAAATGACCAGTGAAGCTTGTGCACACAAATGTAAAAAATGTATACGTGTTGTCCACAAAATCGATGTCGATTCGGCTACGCTTTAAGCGAATGTACAATATTTTTTTATATATGTACCGAAATGACTCTATTCAGCTACGTTTTGTTAAAATATTCAATATTCAAATTCAAGCAACAACAAAAAAATGTAAATAAAAAAACCGTGCTGATAAATATCTCCGGTTTTCTACATCTATATTTCAAGCATGTTTCACACCAAGTTTTAACAGTAAGTTCAGAGGATTAAAAACTGTTAAGTGCTTTGTTATGGACGAGTCAGTTACCGACAAGTCAACAACTCATGTTGATGCAAATGTAATGTGTGATCAGTCTTACGACAATAACAGTACTTGTATAACGGATAGTCCGCCTGAAGTAGACCATGATGAGGATGACAAACCAGGACGTCTTCTCTGCATTGTGACCGACCGACCGACCACCTATACCCGGATACATTTTTCTGGCATTTCAGGTAAACAGGGTATTTGATTTAAACATATTGTATTTGCAATAGTACAAAAAGGGATTAGACACAGGTTATAAAACTTAAGGTTTGCCTTCTCCCTTAAAACAATAATGATGAAAAATACATATGGCTGCACAGTAACAAATATTGATGACTGTAAATTTAGATGATTCAAAGGAAACATAAATAAGATAAAATTTGCAATATACAAAGCTTATATCTTATTTTTGTATTGAATGTACCCTTACATGTCTCATTAACCTGTATCTGATATAAACATACGCTGTAACATTACTATAAACAATCTAAAGTTTACATTTTCATATTGAAACTTCTGTCAATGATACATATCATAAAGTCTCTAAAACAATATAAAATTTAATAATTTAAATTTAGCTCTGAAATCAACATGCATGTGTCAACACCGTAGCAGCTTGATGACACAGCAGACCGCATCACACAATGGTCACATCCTTGAAACTTTCTTTAAAACGCATCGCACCATAATATCACACATCCTTGGCTTCCTTAAGAGATCCGAGATGGCTAGGCTCCCTGCTATCCCGGATGCGATCCACTGCGTCCTCAAAGTACCACAATGCTAACCACGTGCAGGTGATATATAAATATATTTACTTTTGTTTTAACATATTTTTAACTAAATCGTTTTGAATTTTCAATGTATTCGTGAACTGATATGAATAGAAAACAATTTTCATTACCAGTAAACATGTCTGAACCATACGAAAGTAAATCAGCATTTGAAATATCTAAATTCTAATTCCCTAAACGTTTTCAACTAGAGGGTATTTCTGGCTTCTTCATACATTGGACATTATAAAAAATAATGCTCAACATTTTCTATAGGACAAGAACAAATGCATTCAGGCGACTGAATTACATTTATACGTTTGAGGTCAGAGCTCAAGGAACTGCAGTTCTACCAGAGTCTTGTATGCAAAACATTAAATTTTCGTTCACCAGTGGAATAAAACTCAGGAGCTCATTCTCCCTTAAAAGATATTTTGTTTTTGAATGCAAGAGGCGCATTACATGTTCTGATTCGAAGATCAAGATTATTCCAAAGTTTTAATGTGCTAGGAATGAACGATTTCTCAAATACGGTTAATCAACACCTTGGAATCACATAATTATTTTGATTTCGTAAATTGTAACTGCTAACATTATGTACTCTGTTTGGCATTATATCCTGTAAGTAAGAAGGGGTAAGATTATTTTGTATTTTATATAATAATGTTAACTTACGAGTTTTCCGACGATTGTTTAATGTTTCCCATCCAGTTTCGAAATACAAGCTTTGCGTACTTGCAAAAACAGGAACACCAGTCACAGTTCTAGCCGCTTCTAATTGTAATTTTTCTAGTTTTTCCGAATCTGTACTATTATATTCATCCCATAGCTCGCAAGCATATTCCAAAAGAGGTCTTATAAAAAACTGTAAACAATTTCGACAATGTTTTCTTATTCAAAATATATTTTAACTTACGGAATACTGATATCTGTTTTGATGCTGATTTAACAACATTGTCAACAAGTACAGGCCATTTACAGTTTTCATTTAATGTTACACATATATGTCTGTGACCAGTGGAAGTTTGTAATGGTGTATTATTAAACATTAAATGTATATCTAACTTTTGTGAACAATGAAAAAGTACTACTTCAGTTTTGGTTGGATTAAAATTAACATTCCATTTGTTTGACCAATCTTCAATAATTGCCCAATCATAGTTCAATACATTTTCTATTTCTCTTACAGTACTCGATGAAAATGATAAAGACGTGTCATCGGCAAACATTCTTGCAAGTGAAAGTAAATTATCAGCAATATGATTTATAAAAACTAAAAATAGGAAAGGTCCGAGGACCGACCCCTGTGGAACACCTGCATTTAAATGCCCAATCGAAGAAGTAGAGTTATCTGATATGACCTGCTTCAGGGAACTCAATCGTAAGTCAAGCGTAGTATCCGGTTCAATCATATGTCAAGTGGAAAGTTAAACACAATGGTCCCAGTATTCAAGTCTTGTAAAAATATAGCCACTTTTGCTAAACACGAAGAAAGTCTTATATCTCTTTAACTCTACACGCACTTATATACCGTAATCGATAACTGGTTAGTGCTTATCTTTACTTGAGCAATGCTTAATTTCAGTTCTTCCAATCCATTAAAGGGGCATCACGGTGAAGTAACTTGATTTTTTGTCTTTTTTTCAAATACTACATAAACATATCAAGTGAGACTCTTTATGGAAAATAACGATCGGATTTGGCTGAAATAGATTCATAAAAATGATTAAATCTAAGAAAATCATCGGTATTTCTACCTGTCTGACCAACGTTTNTAGCAGTTAGTACGGTGCATGTATTCTTCCGGATAGCCGGTTAAGCTGAAATGGAATCGACAGAAATGCTAGCGCTGTTTATGTTATGAATAAATATCTAAAACTATTAAACTCGCTAGTATCTTTGTCTGAGTTTGAACACAGATGAACTTAGTTCAATATGTTAATGGGCATGTATTGGAGAGAGTTTACTTTGTGTTTCTATAATTATACAGTGGTTTATGCGAAAGGAAGGGAGAAGTGACTGGTTAGTTTGATTTTGCCATGAGGCCCTCCAAGGGATAACTGTTGTGATGGCCACGGCGTATTTTCTGGGTCACCGAGATAGGTGTTATCACGGAATTAGATGTTATCTAAGTCCGTGGATTTACATAATTTATGATATTACCGGGTTCAATAAAATGGTATGATTTAATTATATTGCTGAATTAAACGATTATTTTTGTTTTTACATGCAAGATTCAAATTAGTACTAATATGAATACCCTGCCTCCTCAGCCCCGGCAATATATAAAAAAAATCAGAAAGGTTTGTCCCTTGGTTTAGGTAAGGTGTTTAGCCCCGTACCATCCGTACCGGCCACATTCCGGTACTAAATTCAATATATATTTAAATATATCTACTTTATGTTTATGCCTATTATCATTGTTGACATTTAATTGTAAATGTATGACGGGAGAAGGCTGTGCTAAATTGTAAAAACTTGTGCCCCATCCCTTGTTTAGTTTTATTGGCAACAAATTTATGTTTAAAGCTAAATAAATTTAAATTCTGAATATTGGCAAATGTGCAATTAACTTCTGATGATGAATAATTACTTTTCAAAAAGTTTGAATACGGACATAGAAATCATATTACTTGGTTTCATAGTGCGGTAAGAGGTTGCAGTTGCCTAACGGCCCCTCTCTGGGCGCCCTTTTGGAAACCGTTTCATCTCGCTCGCACAACTTTTGTTTACTGCCTAGTCAGGTGACGTTATCGGCGCTATTTTTAGCAGGGCTTTCCCGAACAATTCAAGTGGTCAAACTGGACATTTGGAACGGACTATGAATATGGGGATAGCGAGGTACCATAAGTGGAAGTGTAAACAATACATACATTCATTATAAAAAACGCCTTTTCACGTGATGTCCCTTTAAGGATGTTTATTTCTGGAGTACATGCTAGAGAAGAGATCCACGTTTCTCATCTTAGTTTGTTTGTTTGTTTGTGTTGAACGGCCCATCGACAATATTACTGCGGATATTTATTTATTTATTTATTTTCTTAAACAAACATGTGAGTAGCGAAGATAAAATCAGGTAAAAATTAATATTCTTAAAAGCATTCGCATGGTATGTGTACATAATAAAAATAAAAATTTGTTAGAATAATAAAAGATAATGAATAGATAATATGGAATATCAGATAGATATATAACGACAAAGAGGGTAAGGTGGTTTAAAATACATTAGAGTCTATAAAATAGACTGGTGTCTTTCAAATAGTTAAATAATGCCTTCGAGTTCACGGAACTGAAAAGAGTTTTCATATCCGGGACTCGAAAGTAATTATCACAAATGTGTTTAAAATCGGACCATTCTATAAAAAATGTTCCACTGTAAATGGAGTGTCACATGCGTGGCATGTAGGTGGATCTTCTCGTTTTAAAAGGTACGAATGCGTAGGATAAGTGTGCACAGTTCGAAGCCGAGAGAGGACTAATAGAATGTTTCACCCCCTTGGAGGTGAGATAGGGGATCTCAACCCAAGGGGGAAGATTCTTATGTTGCCAAACATGAGGATTTGCCGAGTGTTTGGCAACTTAAGAGTCTATCCCCTAGGGTGAGATTCCTTTATCTTACCCACAAAGGGGTGAATTATTCTTTTTCTCTTACCCTGTTCTCCCAATGTGTATCATATACACAATGTAATGATAACGTTACATGCTAAATTCAGGGTTGACGTGACGTTGATGGATTGTTGACGTGACGTTATGAATTGTTGAAGTGATATCATTGTTATGAATAGGGGAATGCCCCTGTCTCAACCCCAAGGGTGAGACAAGGAAATTTCACACCTGTCCGGGGTAAGAGAAAACTTCCTCTCTACGATCTTTCCGACTGGGAACACATGTTTTAAGTTTCGGCTGTACTTTTAAAAGTTTGTTGCTGGTCTCGAGCGTTGCTGCCATTCATTTTGAATGGCTGTACGAATAATGGGTTAAAAATCTGTACTGTACATGGTAGTTTTATATTTGTTTGTTGGAAATTTAACGCATTTGTTTGCTTCTCTGTCAACAAATTCGTTGCCTTTAATTCCGACATGGCTCGGAATCCATAGTAAAGAAATTTCACATTTCTTTCTGCCACTTTCTGGTCGCTTATTTTGTACGGGGTGAGGTTTTTACCTTTAAGTTTGAGTACTATTACGTTTTCCATCATTTAAATAAGTGTGGCAAACATCTAAAGGGGTATGGGGTGGTGATATAAGGATGGGGATAGGGTGTATTATATGTATACAGTGGTTCGGGAATAAGGGTAGGAACTATAGGATGGGGATAGGGTGTATTATATGCATTGAGTGGTTCGAGATTAAGGGTAGGAACTATAAGATGGGGATAGGGTGTATTATATGTATAAAGTGGTTCGAGATTAAGGGTAGGAACTATAAGATTGGGATAGGGTGTATTATATGCATTGAGTGGTTCGAGATTAAGGGTAGGAACTATAGGATGAAATAGGGTGTATTATATGTATGAAGTGGTTCGAGATTAAGATAGGAACTATAGGAAGGGGATAGGGGGTATTATATGCATTGAGTGGTTCGAGATTACAGGTAGGAACTATAGGATGGGGGTAGAGTTATTATATGTATAAAGTCGCCGCGATTACGGGTAGGAACTATAGGATGGGATAGGGCGTGTTATAGGCATTGAGTGGTTCGAGATTACAGGTAGGAACTATAGGATGGGATAGGGTGTATTATATGTATACAGTGGTTCGGGAATAAGGGTAGGAACTATAGGATGGGATAGGGCGTGTTATAGGCATTGAGTGGTTCGAGATTAAAGGTAGGAACTATAGGCTGGGATAGGGTGTTTTTTATGCATTGAGTGGTTCGAGATTAAAGGTAGGAACTATAGGCTGGGATAGGGTGTTTTTTATGCATTGAGTGGTTCGAGATTAAGGGTAGGAACTATAGGATGGGGGTAGAGTTATTATATGTATAAAGTGGTCGAGATTAAGGGTAGGAACTATAGGATGGGGATAGGGTGTATTATTAGTGAGAGGTGCTCGTATGACTTGTCCGTTTTCTAATGTCCTGGGTCAAGATGTCTTTTTCTGTATTTCTGCTGTCTGTTGGTTTACGGTGGTGATAGAAAAATACGTTCGAATAACACTATTTTAACACTCTGGTGGAGTCCTTACAATTTGTATACAGATATTATTAACAGAATAACAAACACACTTTCACTATAATATGGGACACTTTCGGTGGGATGGAGTGGTATAATAAGTAACACTTTGTGGTGATATATCTACCCTAATCCTATACTAGTAATACAATTAAACAATTATCATACTCTAGGCCAATGGACAGGTCTTATTGGTCTTACTTGGGTGAGGTCAGGGAGTCTCAGAGGTGTTGACAGCCCGGGGGTGAGTGAGCGTGTCGCGGCAGAATGCAAGTGGCAACACTTTTTGAGATTTATTTGAAGAAATGAATCAGCTGGAAAAAAACATGCCAGATGTTCCACCATGGACTATACAAACACCTGATATTAGATTTAGAAGAACACGAATTCTCTTTTCCGGAATGCATTTTGAGGTTCCCCGCTCATACACAGCAATTCACTCACGGGAACAAAGATGGCCAAAATGTAGCAGCAGACTACTGCTCTGTTACCATTCCATCTCGATTCAATTACCAGACGGTGTCTCTATTTTCTCTCCGGTGCTAATGGCCGTCGACTGTGTCCACATTGAACAAGTAACCGTCTGTTTAGACTCTCTATCATCTAGCAGTGACGTAAAACACAAAACCCCTTACACATAGCTCCTTTATCCGCATATTTTGTATCGTAAAGAGCCCGAGTCACTTAGGAATAAAAGGTCATGAAAGTGCCAGAGCAGCAAAAATACGTTTAACTCTCAGTCGACCAATAACATATAGGGGACATCCACGGGAATGACTCGCCATTAACATTTCCCTAAACTTTGTTTGTTTGTTTGTTTGTTTATGTTTAACGGCCCATCGACGGCTGTGGTCATTTAGGGCCATGGTGATTTTTTATTTTTATTTTTTTATTTTTTTTAACAAACATGTGAGTAGCGAAATCAGATAAAATCGTTCATTTTAAAAGCATTCGCATTGTATGTGCAGATAATAAAAAATAAAAAAGGGGGTTAAAAATAATAAAAGAGATAACGAATAGGTGATATGGAATATGTGATATATATATAACGTCAAAAAGGGTAAGGTGGGTTAAAAGACATCAGAGTCTATAAAATAGACCGATGTCTTTCAAATAGTTAAATAATGCCTTCGAATCCACGGAACTGAAAAGTGTTTTCATATCCGGGACTCGAAAGTAGTTATCGCGAATGTGTTTAAATTCGGAACATTCTATTAAAAAATGTTCCACTGTAAATGGAGTGTCACATGCGTGGCATGAAGGTATATCTTCTCGTTTGAAAAGGTACGAATGAGTAGGATATGTGTGCCCAGTACGGAGCCGAGCGAGGACAACTTCCTCTCTACGATCTTTCCGACTGGGAATAGATGTTTTAAGTTTCGGTTGTATCTTAAAAAGTTTGTTGGTAGTCTCGAGAGACCAGCGGTGCTGCCATTCAT